TATATTTTCATTATAGTTTATATATTTTCTATTGAATCTTTATTATATTTTTATTTTATTATTCTTTATTGTATTTTTTGCACTTATTTACTATTTGCACTACATTCCCCCAGTATTGCTGTGTCAAACTTAATCAACTCAACAAACATCTTATCTTAATATAGCTTAAATGCATCTTGTTAGGGCTGCACAATTAATTGAAACGTTAACGAAATCGCAATATGGCCAAGTGCAATATGCAAAGAGAGTTAGAGCTGTACTGTTTTGATAAAGGTACAATGTGTATAATACACACACATATATACATATATATGAGAGAGTACATTTAAATTGTATATTTCATTCTTCACTGAACCTACAGTATGCGTATTAAGTTAGTAGTTAAGTCACTTTGCAGCCAACTAACAGTAACAGTCAGATCTCATGCCATACAATCACCAGTTTCAGCTGTAAAATGTTTATTCAACAGTTTCACCTATCCAGTATGTAAGTTATTCACAGTATGCATTGGGAAGAAAGACATGGACAAAATCCTTTATCACGGTATATGTTGATGATATACAGTGAGCACTTTATTAGATACGCCTGTAAAATCTAATGCAACAACTCAGCCAGAAATGCTACCTTTACAAAGATCAGTTTTGATCAACACTGTAAGAGAGGTATTCATTTAAAGATATGCTTAATATTGAGGTTGAACAATTGACATCAAATTAAATCTAAACCTCCTCCACAGACTCACTGACACATCCTGCTATCTGTATTTTTTATGTGATATTTTCCCTTGTAGCGATACACTGTGGAGAACATGGTATTATGACTTTCACTAAATTGATGAAACATTTATGGTTTTGACGGTTGGAATATTTTGAACACGTTAATAAATGGAGCTGGGAGAAAAACTAATTAATAAGAAAAGCAATATAATCTATTCTGATGTAAAAAGAGAGAAATCTACTTGCACTTTTATGAGAAAATGAGCTATCAGTTTAGAGTGTACCATGCAGTGTTTTAATTGAAGTGATTGGCAATAAAGAACTGTTTGAGATCAATTTAAAAAATGTGCTTAAATGTGTCGCCTAGCAACCACAATATTCACCCGCTGTGAACTGATGAACTGTACTGTAAATCTGTAGAAAGAATCTAAACGGTCTGCTGTATTGTGTTTCAGAGTCTGGCTCTGGCTCCGGTTCAGACTCCGAGCAAGAGAGACCCCGATCCCCCAGCAACGCCTCGGGCAGCGGCAGCGATAGTGAGAGGGAACGGGATGACGATGATGAAGAGGAAGGCCAGGAGGCAGGAAAACCCAGTATAAACAAGGTGTGTGTCTGTGTTTGACTGATAACAGTTTGGATGTAGGTCTGGCAGTGTGAGAGTAGACAAAAGCTCCACATGCTCTGCCAGTGAGCCTGACCCCTATACAACAATCACCTAATTAAACATTTGATTTTATAATCATTTTAATCCCAGCTGCTTTTTATCCCACAGTCCAACAACATGTAAGCCAGGAAGCAACTCTGTAAATACTGCGTCTGCTCTTACGATGACCTCTGAGCAATAACAGGCGTATAGGCAGGAAATGAACATTTTCTGTCTTATATTCTTATTTTATTGTGCCTGGGGTTTCATATCTGGGACATTTAACCCTCAAATGCATTAGACTTATTATCACACCAAAAGGAGAAATGAAAAACAACACCGAAACATGTTTGCTTACATACTGCAATCCATGTCTTCACATTCAAGACAACATTATTATCAAGAACAAATCATTTGGTTTGTTACTGTATATTAACAGTAAAACGTCATTCAGATAATCTAAAACTTGTAGCATGCGTTGTAAAATAAATAGAAGAAATTTATACAGATATACTGAGATATTATCATGTATGTAACAGTGTTTACTTTATATATAATATACATAATGTGATTCTGCTGACCACTGAAATTTCCCTCAGTCAAATTACATTTTAGTATGTACGTATTCATGTTTTCTTTCTTTAAAAAAAATCTGCTTAGAGTTATAACTGTGGTGTGATTGAAAAGTATAATGAAGTGCACTCGTAGATTGGAAAAATTAATTCCATTTATTAGAAGTTGTTAATGTTTTACCGCCTCTCAAGTATCAGCTATAATTGATATGAACCATATCTTTTTATGCTGTGAATAAATTGTCACCATGGTAGAAACCCGCCTTTCTCACAGTCAAGGTGATGTTTGTCTGTAGTTGCAGATTTGGTGTGTGTTTGTGTGCGTGTGCGTGTGTGTGTGTGCTCACATGTGAAAGAGGTAGAAGGTTGGACCATGTGCAGTAATGATGGCGAACTATACATCAGCTAAACAACTTACTCCCCTTTCCTCCTACCTAATAGGAGCTGTTTGGAGACGACAGCGAGGATGAGCAACACAGTCAACACAGCGGCAGCGACAACCAGTCTGAACGCTCAGGGAACCAGTCGGATGCCAGCATGCACTCAGACCAGGGCGACAATGATCACTCTGACGCAGAGCAGCACAGTGGCTCAGAGGATGGAGGCCACCGGTCGGATGGAGGTAGCCCGGCCGGCAGCGGGATGTCCGGTCCAGGGAGCCCTCACTCTGAGAGGGGCAGTGTCCGTTCAGACAGAAGGTACACCAGCACACAGTGGAGGTGCATCAACTGAGATAACATGAGATGAGGCCATAGGGGACATGATGTCTGTGCTGATATATCCATGATAAAAAATAAAAAAACAACAACACCCCCTTCTGTCAATCTATCTTCAAAAATAAAGGCATAAAAAGCCCAAAAGATTATATATATAAAAAAAGTACAACCTAACCTTTAATGTTATTATGAGACACTTTCCTTTGTTATCAGAGGACCAGGCTTTCATTTCCTGATATATTTCTTCCCATATTTTTGTCTTGAACCAGTGTGCACAGTGATCCTGGCACGCCACAGTCAGGGCCGGGCACCCCTCGTTCAGAAGCAGAAGCTTCCGGCAGGGAGAACCAGTCAGATGACGAGAAGTGGGAAGTGGGGGCAAAGAGCGACCAGTCAGAGGATGAGGACGAGAAACGCCATTACTCTGATGAAGAAAGGGAGAACTCTGATGATGAGGGGCCTCGGAACAGGAAACCAGGTAATCCCAGGGTCTGGTGTTAAATGTAGAGGAAATATTGTACATGACCCTGATCAAAAGCCAGCCTTCTGTGTTAATCTTGAGTTTGTGGAAGAGGATTAGTGCCATATGTGAAACTTTTATCCTCTGAGGTTAATCTCAGAATTTAATACGAGATTAATTCACTTTTTTTTGCATTTGGTAATGGTCCTTCTTTATTTACTGTAAAATGCGTTCATGTGTCCTGTACCTTTTTAGTTTATACCATGTTCCAAGTGGAAAATATGTCTTATCACCTGCTGTGATTTTATTTTTCAGATTCTGCAAAGGGCAGTGATAGTGAAGATGATTTCCTCAGACAGAAAACCAAAGCAAAACCAGCCTCTGATTCGGATTCAGACAGCGATATCGGAAGAAAGAAAAGTAAGAAATATTGACATTTTTTCTCTCAGTTTTTTAATGCAAACCTAACATTGTTGATTAATAGTGGCATCTGCAGAGTTTTATTGGGTACAGCTAAATTTGGAATTTGTATTGCACTCGTACTTTAATAGAGTCCCTCTTTCATACTTTTTCACAGCAAAGCCGGTAGCAGCAGCCGACGACCTGTTTGGAGAGGCTGACGACATCTCTTCAGACAGCGATGCAGAGAAGCCGCCGACCCCGGGACAGCCCCTGGTATCTGCCTGACCTCTCGCTCTCCGTCTCTTTCCTCCACTGATCATCGAGCCTCTTTAATTGTGCCAAGTCCTTTTTATACAAGTTCCCAAATCTCTTTTTCTCAGAGCCTCTCGCTAAGCCTCTCTGAGCTTATCCCTATTATCATGGGTCACTGAATCATGTTTTTTGTAAAATTTTGTTCTCTTCCTCTCCCTCTCTTTGTGTGTGTGTGTGTGTCCAGGATACAGAGGATGGGATGGAAGGGGATCACGCAGAAGAGGAGCCTGCGCCCGAAACTCGTATTGAAGTAGAGATCCCAAAAGTCAGCACAGACCTGGGATCTGACCTTTATTTTGTCAAGCTGCCCAACTTCCTGTCTGTGGAGCCAAGGTCAGAACCATGGCACTGTCAATAAATACAATATAAACACTTTATGAGCTCAAAAGTCCATTTAAAATATAGAAAATAGGAGATGGAAGAGGGATATATGGAAAGGCATATTCACTTAACTGCTTATTTTGGATCCTTCTACTCTGCTAGTCAGAAGGAGGCTTGCAAATGTTTATACTCAAGTGTTCTTTGTTGTGTTCAACTAAATGTGTTGGGTCTTGATGACCGTAAAAGCCTCTGCGTAACTTAAAGGTTTATTTATTTAGATTTTCATTCAATCTCCCTCTATAGACCCTTTGATCCTCAGTACTATGAGGATGAATTTGAGGATGAAGAAATGCTGGATGAAGAGGGAAGGACCAGGCTCAAGCTGAAGGTACGTAGTCCACGTTATGTGTGTATGTTTGTGGGTTCTGTTGTTGTCTGTGTGGGTTTAAATGGAAATAAATTGAGAGCAATGTCTAAAATAAATCTTGTGTATGATGCTTGTCAGTACATTTGGAAGGAACTAATTTTTGTTAGCGTGACCAGAGTCTCTAATTCTCTCCCACACAGGTGGAAAATACAATTCGATGGCGAGCAAAGAAAGACGAGGAGGGAAATGAAGCACGAGAGAGCAACGCACGCATTGTGAAGTGGTCTGATGGCAGGTGTGTGTTATGTCAGGCTGCATGTTTGGGTTATTACACTGTGAACAGGACGTTCTCTGTACTTTCCATGCTTTTTAAATGTCATTGTCTCGCCACAGCATGTCGCTCCACCTGGGGAATGAAGTGTTTGATGTTTACAAAGCTCCTCTCCAGGGAGACCACAACCACTTGTTCATCCGACAAGGCACTGGGCTGCAGGGACAGGCTGTGTTCAAAACCAAACTCACATTCAGGTAATACACTGACATTGCCATTGTTGTATTGGTGACAGGGTGCTATTAAGACCCACATCTCACACAGACATGAGGCAAAAACTGTTGAGTTGCCAGGGATACTCCTCCTCTGTCTGGCTCTCTGACAGCTGTGCATGCACTAAATAAGCCCCAGGCTGCCTCTAGTTCCAAACAACAATAGCAGCCTTCATTCAAGCTCTATTCAGAAATGTACTATGCTGTAAGTCCCTGGATCACCTTGTGCAAGCTGCCCAAGTTTTCTCCCAATAAGAAGTGTGTAAGCCTCTTAGCGCCCCCAAGTCCACCTGGATGTTCTGTCTTCTCAGACCACATGGGTTTAGTAGGACACTGGCCAAAGCTGCTTTAATGCACAACAGCCAGGCACTCCCAGACAGGACATTACCATTTGTTCTGATTGAGTATTATCATCAGAGCAGAGTTTTGATTAGGATCAGGGCAGAAGCTGCTCAGGGTACAAATGGTTAGGACTTAGTGTTTTTCTTTTAAAGAGGAGCTTTGGGCAAATTCACAAATAGATGGAACAAAAATACTCAAGCAAGATAGATACAGGGGAGTTTCTGTTTGTTTGCAGAACAGATAAGAGACTTTAAAAATGGAAGACATTCATCTGAAAGCAATGTTGTTAAAAAACAATGGCTATGTTTGCTTGCCAACTGTCTTCTTCTGGCTCATATTTCCTGATTCTTTAAAGCTGGACTGTGTGACTTTTACATATAAATGAATGCGCAAGCCATATGAGTTCACACAATGCTGATTAAGCCTGGTCACCACCAGGTAAATCTCTCTGTATTTTGCAGTATACTGCAGTTTTTAAATCCTGCGCTGGCGCACCTGCAGTAATGCGTTTTACGTCACCCAGCAACGATTAGTTTGCCAGAGCTGAAATGAGGAGAAACTGTAGCGAAGGCCTAGGCTACAGCAACTAGCAGTATGGCGGAGCCTATGGCATTGACCATTGACAGTATATATAAGGCAGAGCTTCCAGGTCTGTGAAGTGAAGCCAATGTGGAAGTGTCTTAAACTTGCATTCTCTGTAAAGGCCAGCAGGGGGCAGATCCATTAGTTGCAATAAAAAAACGATACCATGTACTTTAATTGATAAATCACCCCACTTCTCATTTGATTTATTAGCTCCGTAAATGGTTTCTTAATGAGTTTATGGTCTCAATCGCTAGTTTCAAGTCCTCTTCCAGACATTATGATGTTCATTTAACCAATTATGGTCCAAGTTAGAGTAAAATAGACGATAAAGCAAAGTATGCTTTTGGCCTGGCTACTTTGTGATTGACGAGTCATTCTCACTGAATCTGTCCAACGCAACGCACGAAACTCAGATCAAACTGTCAAACTAGGCAGTGCTGAACAAATATGAAAAAAGAATTCTGTTACTCCTACCAGGAACCTACGTTCACACTTGGCATAGGCATGCATCATAAGCACGTAACGTGTAATTACTCTTACTGCCAGAAGGGAGAGACAAAAGTTCTGCACCGCAGGTTTAACTGACACCAACTGTCAAGTCAAGTGTCAGTGGAAGAGCGTGAAAGCATTGGCAGAATATGAGTGACATTGCCTGCGTGCATGTGATACAAAAACACAATGGGAGCCCACTCGAAAAACCATTGTTCCATAGCACTTTTATTGGTCAAAAAATCCAAGGCATATTTTAGTATTTTGCCAGTTTGCAATTGAAATGTATCGATTTTAAGCTTTTCTTGCAAATTAAAATAAAGAAATTATTATGTTTTTAAAAAAGGGGTGATAACTACTCACTAAAAACTGCTTCAATGTTTGAAGGAATGATTTTTTGTTTCTTAGCAGTGAAGAAATATGCACAGTCACCTTGAATCTGACATTAGTGGTCTTCTGCATTTCCAGGCCGCACTCCACAGACAGCGCCACCCACAGGAAGATGACCCTGTCTCTGGCTGACCGCTGCTCCAAGACACAAAAGATCAGAATCCTTCCCATGGCTGGACGAGATCCAGAGTCGCATCGTAACGAAATGATCAAGGTCACACACACTCGCACACTCTGTCCATCTGTCCTGTTCTGTTTGTCTCCCCTCAGCCCTGCCCGAGAATACTTTGGTCACCACAGGCACCCAAAAAAAAAAGGGGGGGGTCGCATGAGGCCGGTTGTTGACAAGCATCATACCCGGTTACATAAAGACATATCCTGACGTGCTTACATAATGAGGTCACACAGTGGTCAGTCAAATGGAAATAGTGTCAGCAAGTCTGGCAGAGCTGCTGGGTGTGTATCAACTGTCAACCCAAACAAACACTGCTGATAGCATAGTTTATAGTTTCACTGTTCTCAGCACTCACCTGAGGCAGTGGGACTGTACCTGGTGAAGAGGTGCAGCATTCGTCTACTGCTGTTGTTGAACTTAAAAACACAACTTTGATACCAAGATACTCACAAGCCAGATTGACCTTTTACCCGTATGTTCTAAGGCACAGTACACGCGTCGTAAACATCACTATACGTATCAGTGTGGTCTGACTTCAGTGTGAAGGCAGTGTAGGAGCTCTGTAATGGGAAGAATCTTAATAAATACCACTACATGTGACTTTCCTCATCATTTGCTGTTGTACTTGCCAGTTGCATTTGTAGTGGCATTAAACTACAACAGAAGGTTAAGCAATTTGTTGTGTTTTATTTGTTTTTCATTGGACATCTTAATTACAATTGGAAAGAGCCAACAAAGCAGCTTTTTTTTCTGGAAAAGTACAGCTGGGGGATGACTTGAAAATGGTTTTGGCTAACCAGCACTGGATGATTGGCTGCTGAAATTGACAGATGGAGGATGGCAAATTTTGATAAAGAAAAAGTCTTTTGGCAGTGGAATATATTAGATTCTAGGGTTTTTTGCCACTCTGATATACAGTTCACCAGATCTGTCAGATGAGCGCGACACTCATGCTTCTTGTCCATATGTTGACACAGAGCTCATTGGTTTAGCACTCCCATTGTAGCTTATTTTTCTGTCACATTTATAGTTTGTATTGTCAGAGTTAGATGTATTGTCAGACCTTTAACGGTAACCCCACACTGCCCTTTCTTTCCTTTCTCCGCCTCGAGCTGTCTATTTACGATTGTTCGAGTACTTTATTAATCCTAGTAGGAAATTGCTTTGTTAAAGCAGCTGTGTTACATCAATCACAAAACAATAAGCAGGATAAGGGCACTCAAAGTAGTAGATATGAAACAAAGTAAAAAAATAAAATAAAAAAAAGGAACAAATTTCTTAAATATATACTGTACAGTGCTGGTACGAATAGTATATGGTCAAAAATACCTGGAACACGTCATGTATAATAATAAATGACAAAGCCAATCCTGCTGATGGTATGCATTTTGTGGACAGATAACTGCATCTTACCTCTCCAAATATAATTTCCATTCTTGTTATATATCTAAAAATGTCAACAGACCACCTTATAGTTTATATTAAGAGAAATTAATGAAATCCACTATTCCTTACCCCACACCCATCATAGAAGTTCCATACAGTGAACTTCATAACACATGAATTTTAAATTACAAGCTAAAAATAAAATGCCAAAGTCAGTTCTTAACGTGAAGCCAGGTGTGTATTATACCCGTTCTTAACATAATTCCCACTGGTGTCTCTCCTGGCAGAAAGAGGAGGAGCGGCTGCGAGCTTCTATCCGCAGAGAGTCCCAACAGAGGAGGATGAGGGAGAAGCAGCACCAGAGAGGCCTGAGCAGCAGTTACCTGGAGCCCGACCGCTATGATGACGAGGAAGAGGGGGAGGAGGCCATCAGCCTGGCAGCCATCAAGAGCAAATACAAGGGAGGAGGAGGCCTGAGAGGTGAGGACGATTTGATAACACATTTACCGCAACAACTTTCTCATTTTATTTTATCTCGNNCCCCCACCCCCCACCCCCACAATCCAGAGGAGCGAGCAAGGATCTACTCGTCGAGCGATGAAGGCTCCGACGATGACAAGGCCCAGAGGCTGATGAAGGCTAAGAAGCTAGACAGTGATGAGGTAGGTGTAGTATCATGTTGCACAGACAGGGGGCAGTGTGATGTAGGACACCATGGAGGTCAATAGTACCCTCGTGTGAACTGAACAGGAGAGGAAATGCTAGTCCTTTTAAAGAACATGCACTTAATTCTGTACAAACAGTTTCTGCTAAAAGTGAAAAAAAAAAAAAAATAAATAGAAAAGTTGTGGTGCGTGGCTGCTTTAAATATAAAAAATGCAACTGTTATGATACAAATTGAAAGTACTGTGAAAGTGTACACAATGTCTGCTGCAGTCAGCATGGCTGACACTCCATGTCAGAGCGTCATCTCCTGTTCTGTTTTTGTGCAGGAGGGTGAGGGATCAGGCAAGAGAAAGGCAGAGGACGACGACGATGACGAAATGGCCACCAAGAAGGCCAAGAAATATGTCATCAGTGACGAAGAGGAGGAGGAAGATGACGACGAATAATTCTTTTTTTTTTTTTATCATTCCACTGTATTATCAGTGCTCAGCCCACATGGCATATAAACAGCCATAATATGTTTTGTAGATTTTCATAAGACCTTTATGTGTGTGTGTGGGTGAGTGAGTGTGTTTGTTGTTTGCTTGTTTATGTTGTGTACAGCAGAGGTGAGAAATAAAGAAATGGTTGTCTTATGTAACCAAAGCTTCCCAAGGCCCGTTTATCTTTTTTACCATAATGATTCATATGCATGAATCACACTGTTGTGAGATTATGAAACAAACCGCTTACTTCAGTTTCCAAACAAAAAAGAGGTTAATGGGATAAGAGTTGTAGGTTGATTTGAGATTAAATTGAGAGAAAAAGGGTGACAGCGATGCCTGCCACTTTCTCTTTCACTCACTCGAATAACAAAAATACAGCGTGGAACAAGTTTAGCTTTGAAGTTCATGCAGTTCATGTGGATAAAAACGTGCCCTTGAGGAAAGAACTGGAGAGGATGGTTGAGGATGGTGTTTAAAGAACCAACTAAACCCACCTGACAGGAGAGGCAAAGAGATTAGGGGATTTAGGAATTGAGACAAAAGAGCTGTAGTACGGTGAGAGAAGGTCCTCCTCAGCCTGCATGCCAGCCCAGAGGAAAGGGAAGGAGTATGGGTAGGCTTATAGCTCAGACATTGGTACTCCATCGTCCAGCTGCTTCATGATGATATATTGGTCAGTAACACATCTTTTACTGTAACAGGGTTTTAACAAGCTTGATAGCTCTCCAACAAGGGCCACAATGGAAATAACCGCATAGCTTTACTGTGTTTTAATCCTCTTTAGTTAGTTTAGTTATTTCTAGAACAAAGTAGTGGACTCACAAACAAACATTGCCACCCATTGAGCCACACCACTAGCATGGATAAAAATGGATAATATGAGCATATTGATAACAGAAAAAAAAGTTCTGGATCTTGTTATTATCAGTTTTGTTTTTCTGCATCCTTCAACTTAAATTATTGTTATCTATTGGGAGAAGTATTTATCTATTTTTTTTTTCTCATTGTGGCCATTGTGTTATTCAGCCAAAACCCTGTTTCAAATCTCAAATCCAATATACAAAACAACATCATTATGTGTGATATCATTATGAAATATATAAAAATAGAAATCGGAGGACTCTCAAACAGCCTGTCAGTCCTGTTAGGTGCGTCAGTACTCCAGTTGTTAAAAAGCAGGTGAGGTTGGGTGAGCTATTGTGATTTGATCCCGTTTGAGCCACAGGGGAATGTAGAGAACAACAGTCCCGGTTACTGATTCAAGTTCATCAGCCAGAATGACGCACAGTGCCACACACTGCTTCACTCACTCACACACACACACACACACACACAGGCATTAAACTGGGTTCCCAGAGATAGATAACAACCCCTTGAATCCGACCTCTCCCCCAGCCTTGTCCAGACAGAACTGGCTGTAGTCACACAGAATACAGAACTGGTAAAACACTAACTAAGTGATTAAGTAAGAGTTACATAAATTGGCTGCTTTCTCTCTCTTGGCAACGGGCTTTCTGTGCCTCACACACTGCTTTGACATGGCCACAGACTACCGTCAGTACAGAGAGAAGTATGAAAGACCTCTTGAGGACAGTTCACACGGGTACGAGAGCGGTTCTGTCAGGACAGCAGTGTTTAAAAGAGCCTTTGGTATTTTATATTGTTTGGAATCTGAGACTAGCTCCCTGAAAATGTATAAAGAAGCTGCTCGGTTCAAATGAGGTCATTGTGTGTCTGAACCACTCATTGCTGTGGGCGAGTTGTACCCAGCTGAATTAACTTTTCCATAAATGTACTCATGCAGGCCTGTGTGATGATGCTTTAGTACATGCATGTTTATGCCCACAGCAGTGATCAGAAACTGAAACCCCAGTATAGTGCATGCTAAGCTATTAATAGTCCGTACTGTAAATGTTTAATGCTGCATCATGCATATGTTGTGTGTCTTTGTTGCCTTGAAAGGTGTCGTCAGTAGTGGTGTGCTGCGTTACCTCAGACTGCAGTGGGTTATGTAAACCCAATTCCACACAGTAAGGAGTGGGGAAGGGAGGGGGAGAGGAGAGGAGAGGAGAGGAGAGGGGGAGGCACTGCTACACACAGTCAGCACTGACTGATGGGGGATGAAACAGAGGGGAGGGCTGCAGCATTTCCCCGTTCTTTTTTGTTTTCTCCTCCCCGTCTAATCTTTCTCTCTGTATCCCTTTATTTGTTTCTCCAAGCAAACCCCATCTTCCCACCTTCCAGCCTGAACCTAGACTCAGGAGCTTTATATTTTCTGTAAAGAAAGACACAGACAGCTGCAAAGCAGAGCAGAGCGAGAGAAGAGGAGAGGAGGGGAGAAACTCTGGTGTCATTCAGGGGTATCTTGGCCGCTGTTCTGCCAATTAGGCTCTAGGGGAGACAGCGGCTGGGTCAGTATTAGACCAGGTGCTTCTTGAAGTAAACAGGGATGTGTTTTCATTACTCTCAGCATCCTCTTTGTTTGCCTGTACTGATGCCCTGGTTGACCTGAGTGTGTGTGTATCCACACACTTCTAGTATGCTCACGTAATAAGTTTGATGCTGGAGTTAGTTTGAAAAAGGAGACTACTAAGACAATTGAATCAGTAGATCAAACTTTATATATTATCCACATGTTTTTTTTCTTAACACGTTGTTTTTACATCAAAATTTTTTAGTTTTATCTAAGGTGTGTATAATTTATTGTATGTCATGTATATTTTCTATTATATTTTCATATTTTGTATTGTCTCATTCATATAGAGTGATATTTTCTACAATACAATACAATACAATAAAAAGAGTGTTCAAACAAAAGATTTGGTCCCTGCAGACCCCCTTTAGAGAGGAAGTGGTGTAAATGGATACTGTATTATGATTGGAAAGTTATTGTATGGCTCAATTTTCTTTTTTTCCTCCATTATTGTTTCTTGAGTTTCTTATGCACAGTTCGAATTTCATTGCGTGGATTTAGATTAAATATTTCCAGAGAATAAGAACATTAGTCATTGCTGTAAAAATATATTTCTGCAATGTCTTTTCCCCCTGTCTGTTACGTCTCTTTTGTTCACCTATTTTAATTCTATTAATTTTATAAACTACCTCAATAGCAGTCCAACTCTGTGTACCCTGACTGTATTTCATAGCCCTGTGCCCTTTACCCCTGTCTCAGTATGTCCCTAACCCCTGCTGGTGCTTATATAAGAGGCTAATAAATAAAATAGAAACACAATACTCTACTCTCACCACGGGATCCTCAAACACTCACACATGACACTGGCCCGGAGACTGCAGTGAGGGTCTTAGCAGGAACATTTTCCCTTACGCAGAAGCAGGTGTGCATTATTCACACAAACACCACTGTAACAATTCAGTATGATTTTTTTCCCTTCCGACCTTAACGATTTGGGTCAGCCTGTTCCTCCAAAGGACCAGGGCTTAATCTGTAAACAACGGGTTACCTTCAACTGTGAGCTGCTCTGCGTACAGATTACTTGAGCTTTTTCAAAAACAGACAAAAAAAATAAAAAAAATAACACAAGCAAGGTGACCCTCTGTGGCACAGCTTCTCCAGAGCCAGGAACAACCTCATTAAACATAAAAAGTAGTTTGTCCTCCAAATGCACCATTAATAACTGCATCATTATCTACAGTATCTACTATCTGCTATCTATCTACCCTGGTGTTATATTTTGTGTGCTGATTTCATTCCATTAAAATGCATGAATATAAAAACTGGTTTGGTTTGCCAGACTGTGAACTCACATGTAAGTAAGAGATGGTAATTATAGGCCTCATGTCCTTTTAAAAGGTTTGACCTGAGTTCAACGGTGCATATGCACAACACTTTCTGAGTCCAGGTTCAAGCAGACCCACGCATGTAATTGCTCATAGTGGTTGAAAGTCACCAAGTAATCAACTATATGTAAAAGTAAGTAAGTAAAGATATTTGTACTTGAGTGTTTCCCTCTCCATTTTAAGTTACTTTATATTTCTGCTTCACTATGCTTCAGCTACAGATATTGTGCTTTTGACCCCATTACATGTAGGCTAGTAGCACACATGCACACACATATGCCACATAGGCTATATATATTTTGAAAATCTGTGTGCACAGTTTACATAACCGTGGACCTGAGAGCTCACTGTTTACAGACGTTGTAAAAGAATCTTAATACTTCTTACATCCCTGGTTGCTCGGTGAGGAACGAAATGATGTGTGATTTCACACAGAGTTGACAATAATGTGACACACTTTCTGACCCAAGAGTCATACCTACATCTTGTGTACACAGCTTGACATAGGGGATATCACGGGACATCAGTTTTGGCATGAAAGGGTCCCAAATGGGTCAGCTCACTGTTGGCAATACATGAGTTATGGGCTGTGAAAGGACAGACAAACATGTTCCACTTTGCAATAAACCATGCAGTAATATCATTAAATAGTTATTGGCCTGGAAGATCTTCAGCCTTCCTTTAAAGAGTAGGAGGTCAAAAAGTGTCTGATTACAAAGGACTGATTAACCCCTTAACATACCAGTTTCCCCCTTTTTTCCCCTTAAGCAGTTTTCAGGTTGTTAAAAATGATCCTATTTCACACTGTCTGACAGTATCGTATATATTCTGTATCAGCTTGTACAAACTGCTTATTTAAGGTATATAATTTTACAGTGAGTGAATTCAAACCCAGGACTCCATGTTTATTATCCTGACTGACTGACTGACTGATGTATCCCAAATTCTACCACTATAATTGATATTTTTGGAAGATTTGGATGAGATCTTAACGATAAAGTTATGTGGATTTGCAGCGGCACATGGGTTTGAATATGTTTGGTTTTTTTTGTTTGCTGCTTTTAAGAGCACCCTGCAGTATTATAATGTCACTCACTGGAACAAGTTAGACAGGCCTACGAGGGAACAAATGTAAACTGAAATATGCACACTAGTACACACACCAACAGACTCCATCTGTTGCTACTGTTTCATGCATTTTAATGGTTTGTTTTTATTTTGCATTTCAATGAAAAGCAGCATAGATACCAAGGGCATTAATCCGATGAAAGTGAAATTGGTTTGCAATGTTTGTTCACTGGCCAGTTTGCTGACTGGGCCGTGGGCAGGTCACTGAGGTTTAAGGGGTTTATATGAGAAAGCAGAG